CGTTACTTCCGAGAAGCTTCGTCAGTGGCGATACTATAGACGCGAAGTTTCGGATGAAGCGCCGAAAGTAGGAACACAGTCCTACGAAACTGCGCAGTTCCTTGACGGATGTCGGCTTGGGGAACTTGGTCACGGCCCGAAGCTTGGCTGGATCAGGGAGAATTCCGTCCTCGGAGACGACGTAGCCGAGTATTTTCAGCTGCCGAGCTGCAAATTGGCACTTCTTTAGGTTCAGTTGCAGACTGGCGTCGCTCAGACGCGTTAAAACATGCCGAAGGCGTTGAAGATGCGTCGAGAAATCCGGAGCGAAAACGACGACGTCATCGAGGTAGCACAGGCACGTGTGCCATTTCAGGTCACGCAGAACAGTATCCATCATGCGCTCAAAGGTGGCGGGCGCATTGCACAGCCCAAACCGCATGACGTTGAATTCGTACAAGCCGTCGGGGGTGACAAAAGCGGTCTTCGATCGAGCGTCCTCAGCCATAGGTACTTGCCAGCACCCTGAGCGCAAATCTACGGATGAAGAGAATTCTGCTCCTTGCAGGCTGTCAATCGCGTCATCTACCCGCGGTAGTGGGTTCACGTCCTTACGAGTGATCTTGTTGAGGCGCTGGAAGTTCATACAGAACCGCACAGAACCGTCCTTCTTCGTGACAAGAACGACAGGAGATGCCCATGGGCGGCTAGAGGGGCGAATAACATCGCGGTGAAGCATGTCGTCGACTTGCTCGTTAATTACACGGCGTTCTGTGGGAGATACGCGATATGGACGTTGCCGCTGCGGTGGCTCTGCGCCTGTGTCGATGCGATGCGTAACGGTGGATGTGCGGCCGAGAGAAGGTTGAGCGACATCGAAAGAAGAGCGGAATTCTTCCAAAAGGCCCAAAAGCTGGGAACGCTGGCCCGGCGTAAGGTTGTCGGGTATGGAGGGACCGAATACATCATCGGATGATGAAGCAGATGTCGAAACAGCACTAAGCGTACAGGAACTTGAGCAGTGCATGTCATCGGGTTGATCCATAACTTGCGCGTCTTCGATGGGTTCCACGCTACCGAGACATTCCCCTCGCACCAACGTAACGCTGTATGGAGATGAGTTCACAACAAAAATAGTGATGCTGCCGTGAGTGAGTTGCACGGTCGCGAAAGGAACCAGCAAGCCTTTTCTTATGAATACACGATGAGATGGCGAGAGGAGTGCAGCGGTGTCAGAAAGGCTTGCGCAGTAGAGCGACACCGCCACGGACGAGTTTGCAGGCACTTGAGTGTCGTCTCTGACGAGTAACTTGCTTGCAGCAGATGGACTGTCAGCCGGCGTCAAAGAAGAGAATTGCGTGAGTTCTATTTCTGCTGGTGCGCAATGAATAACGGCGTCGTGGCGGGAGAGAAAATCCCATCCTAGGATAACGTCGTGAGAGCATGAAGAAATTATGATGAATTCGACCGCATACATCACGTCCTGAATCATAAGGCGGGCTGTGCACATCGCTGTAGGGTGAATGCTTTGGGCGCTGGCTGTACGGAGGGAGAGCCCGCAAAGCGGCGTGGTCACTTTTCGCAGTAATCGGCTAAGTTTTGCGTCCATCACGGATACGGCGGCTCCAGTATCTACAAGGGCAGATGCACGGACGCCATCCACAAGCACGTCTATCACGTTCGACTGGCTTTCCTGAGGGCTTCCGCAGTTCGACAGCGTCGCAGCCCTTGCCTCGTGGACTGCGACGACTAGTTTTCCTGGTCGCCCTCGAGTGGACGTGGCCGCATCGGCGACAGTGAGTGACGTCGTGGAGATGGTGAATGGCGGGTAGATGAAACGGGGCGGGACGACGGTGACACGGGACGACGGTGACATAGGCGGCGGTTGGTCATAAGAGCGGCTTGATAGGCTGGGAAAGTTGGAGGCGACCTGCGGTTGCTGCACACTATTGCAATAGCGTGCTACATAACCGACGCAACCACAAGCAAAACAGATGGGGCGATTGTCAGCAGTGCGCCATCGGTTCGCGGGTCCCATCCATGTCGCAGAACGTGATGGGCGAGCCGGCTGCTGATATGAGCACATGGTAGGCGGCACTCGGGGCACGTGGGTGACGCCGGCGTATGTAGGCGAGACAGTTTCTCCGAAGGTCTGTGGCCTCGCGACGGTGTCGGTGTAACTTAGGGGAACAGCGACAGAAATCTGTGGGGGCGGCCTGGCGACAACTTGGGCGTAGCTGAGTGGCGCAGATGCAGGAGGCGGCTGGTAGTATTCAGGGACGACCTCCGCGATTTTCTGCTGAATGTATCGGCGTAGCGGAGGCATAAGTGTACTTGATGGCTGTTGAGCATGTTGTGGGGAAGCAAAAGCCGGTAAAGAGACCTGGCGGGCAACTTCCTCACGCACGAATGACTTGATTTCGGCGAGCAAGGTTGCGTGGTCAGGAACTGCTGACAAGGCCGAGAGATCAGCATCACGTGGTGGCGGTCAACGGGTTATCAAGCGCTGCCGCCGCAGCTCGTTGTAACTTTGGCATAACGTAATGACTTCTGCCACAGTGTGGGGGTTCTTTCCCAGAAGCATGGTGAAGGCATCGTCGGCGATGCCTTTTAGAACATGCGGGATTTTGTCAGCTTCTGACATGTTCAGGTCGACTTTCTTACACAAGTCAAAGATGTCCTCGATATAACTTGTCAAAGAATCACCAGTCTGCTGGGCTCGTTTACGTAAACGCTGTTCAGCTTGCAGCTTACGAACGGCCGGACGGCCGAACACGTCGACGACTGCGGTTTTAAAAGCGGACCAAGTCGGGAAATCATATGCGTGGTTGTTGTACCACATGCCGGTCACACCCGCGAGGTAGAAAAACAGGTTGCCGAGTTTACCTGCCTCGTCCCAATGATTGGGGACACTGACGCGTTCGTACATGGCCAGCCAGTCCTCGACGTCGGTGCCATCCGCACCGGTGAAGACAGGAGGGTCGCGGACGCGGGGGACACCGGGACATGGCGTCGGCGTAGGAGGAAGCGTTTGCTGGGCAGCGTCTTGGTGCATGGTTGCAGGCACGGTACGGGATCGAAGCTCCAAGGGCATTGAATTCGGACCGAAGGTGTTTGAAGGGCACAGCACTCTCGACCAAATTGTTAAGAGGTTTATTGGCGTACATTTCGCGATGATTCACGACAGCGACAGTCAATGCGGGGACCGACTCTCTGCACGAGCTGTTCTTCTTCTTGTGAAGAACAGATAAAAGAGATACCCACTAGAAAGCGCTGGAGAGGACGACCCACTGTTCAAAGGCTTTACCACAGAGTGTTTAAACTAACAAGTATCTGGAGCGTGCATGCGCTAAGAAATGCTAGTCTCTTTGTCCTATACAACATGCCACGCTGTATATTGTAGTGGCCTATTAGACAGCTCATCCTTAAGATGTATACGCTGAAGTGTTCCGTTCATGCGCAAAAACTCGGCGCAGTTTGGTGAAGGCTATGTGAAGAGGAAAGGAACGCCGAGACAGAAAGGCAATGGCTAATAGAGGGACAGGAGAGAGAAGGCATAAAGCTGCCAAGTGAGTAGGGTGAGAGAGTGGAGATGTAGCAAGGAGCAGACGCTCAGCAGACGCGCAGGTGGTGTGGATAGCCAATGAGAAGCGCGCGCCAGGCACAGATGATAACAACAGACGGTCTGTAAAGGCGCCTTGCCAGCGCACGTGTACACAAAGAGATCGCGGTCTTGATTACATTCTCTAGTCCAAAGTCGCTAAATCTAGGAACTTTAATGTAGATTGGCTCTGTCAGATCGCAGTGAGGCGAGAAGGGGAGCGCGCACGCCGTGTGACAGCTGGGCAGAGCCAAGGAAGGAAACTAGAGTTACTTTTGGAGATGGCACCGTGTCCTCCTTTCCTATCTTCTCCTTATTTCCGTATGTGGGTCTCTCTGTCCCTGTTCCTATTTCTATCCATATCTTCTTTCTTCCTCCCTATCCTTTTTAATTCCTCATTACCCCCACTCCTAGAGAGAGGCACTAACGGGACTGCGCTTATTTCTTCCTTTTCCCCGTTTCAAAGTCACTTCGTAGCGACGGCTGGTGGCGGTCCATCGCGTCCGGAGATAGATAGTGGTGGGTAGAGTTACCGTATATGTTAACTGATCATATAAAGTAACTCCAGCGACGGGCAACGATCGAAGACGAGTGTGGCGCGGATCAGTTGCCTCGGAAGAAGGGGCGCGGCTAGAGAAACGGTGCTACGCTCCTCGAGCATGGCCCCAACGACGACGTGCAGATCCCGAGTTTCAATCTGAGGTGTCGTCACGACAACGCTATGACAAGTCTAATCGGGAGAAAAATCGCTTCATCGCCGAACACCGAGCAGAATTCGATCCTAGCTTGCGAGTCTTTGGAAAACTTCCGTAGCAAAGAAAGAGTGCCACTGCTGAAGCCGACGTGCGCTTTATTGGCGTCACATTGTCATCACTGTACCAAGTACAGCTTTGCACTTGGTAAAAAAGACCCTAGCCGCATTCCTGTCTCCTTTTTCGTTTGCAGTGTTCGTTATTTTATTGGCTGGAATTTTTTGCTGGAGCAATACACCAACTAGCTTAACAACGATTGTTATTAGAGACCCTAAAGCTAAGCAAAAGCCACTTGCTCTGCTTATTCATCAACCTTCGCACCGTCAAGTCAGTGATGCTGTAAACCCCCCCCCCCCCGCTTTTTTTTTAATAGGTTGTGGAGAAGTATAAGTATGCATGTGCGTACCATAGCGCCTGCAGTCTGCCATTATTTTTGGAGGTGTAAAGAGGCTATAATAGCGACTATATGGTTGGGATTTTACATTATAGAACAATGATATGATAATGAGACACGCCATAGTGAATGGCTCTTGAAATTTCGTTTCCCTGATGTTCTAAATCTAAACACATGGGTCAATGTAGTTACCGTGACGCCAACACGTATCGGATGCGAGCAAGTCACCTGGAAACAGAGGGTTAGCGCACATTTGCATAAAATGCAGGCTCACCTCATAGAGAGGGTCGACCAGCATGAAGAATCCGTCAACCCCAGGGTAGTCTCTTAACCGCCTGGTGAGTGAATCCTCTTCGGCAAGTTTAGCCTTGAAAGACACTCCTGCCACTGAGTCATCAACGTGGTCTGGATTGCTGCGGTCCTATTAGACGGAGGCACATCCAGAAATGTAGGTTAGAACCAGCGTTTCTCAATGTGCCCAGTTCGTGCATTGTAGAAAGTTCGCACGCACGCACGCACGCACGCACACACACACACACACACACACACACACACACACACACACACACACACAACATATAAAACTGCGCCGACATTCGCACAGTTCTAGCCACCTAAACTTCATCGCAAGCAAGAAATAATAGGGCCTGATGGTGGACGCATAATTGCAGAAAGCGACGGACCAATGAAAAAGACGAACGGGAAACTTCGGTGAATTCGACCCCTCATTGTGAGTTTCTGTTTATATATACTCGCTGGTTTCTTTCGCTGACATTATATTCGGCATCAGTATTGATGGCGGTATATCATTGTGCTAGAAATTTTAGCGCAAGAGCTTTCTGTGATAACCTACCTCGACATAACGCCGTATAGTTGTCTTAGTTTCAAATATAATGTATAACTGATTATGTTATCAGTTCTCCTCATGAAGCAGCTACACACATCTGTGAAAATACAGCTGCCAGATCTTATCAACATACGCGTGTGCAGGGTGCTCCATAGAGGAAGAGGGGGTGTCGTCACAGCGCCTCCCTTCACACTACTGAGTCAGTGTGTGTATGAGGTACATGTCGCACCTTTCTGTCCTCTGATATGTAACTAAAAGTGGGGACTCGCCCCCCCCCCCCCATGCGCATGCCTATTGTTATCAGTACGTCATTATTTTATTCAATCATAAGTAACAAAACCTATAACACTTCATCTAAGCGGAAATGTACAAACCAACATGCATGCTTTCGGCACTAAGTTTTTCAGATGTAGGTGCTTGGTTTAATCCACACTCGTAGTTACAGAAAAACTTTAGTTGTTATTCATTTTGATGAGTCCTGATGATTCGCATATAAGATTCTCTTTTATTGCACGCGTCAATGAAGTGCATCAAACCCACGACTCTCAGAGAGTAGTATAACGATCTCCACGACATATGGTGTCATCGATTGGCAGATTCGGGGTAGACGACAAACTCTGCGCTGGAGAACTCCACACTGGCGGAGGGCAACAAGAGGAAATCTACCAACATGGAGGAAGCAAAAACTGAGGAGAGGCCATATTCTATCCCAATGCATTGCGGGAAGTGCGGCGGAAGTGACGGCAAGTTTATGTGACAAACAAACCGGTATGAGGCAAACAAAATAGCCGACGCTCCGCGACGTGCTCTCAGTGTTGGTTTGCTTCTGCGCGGACTTATAGCCCCGCCGTAAACTTAACGCGTATTTTATGGTTTGCACGCTGTAAAATGTTCCAAGAACACCCTTCCGAGACTGTTCGTGCAGCGCAGGCCCGAGCACGGCGTGCTGAAGTACTTCGTGGAGTGTTTTTGTGCAACAGCACAGAAAGCACCGGCAAGTTTTGTAATCAAAATCATTCAGCGCCTGCGTCATCATATTCGAACTCACCCAAGACTGACTTACACGTACTGCTCACCGTAAGTCCTTTTTTTTCTTTGCCAGAATTCCCGATCAACGTGTCGATTAGCAGTTCTTTGCTCGTATATAGTGTCAGAGTGGCAATGCACGATTTTTAGAGCTTGCTTCGTAGCTATTCCGTGCAACGCCAGCCTAGTGCTTGACGTACTTCACGTCAGTAAGAAGGTTGTATTGTATACGCGATCGTGCCCGTAAAGTGCGTAATTCCAGTGCACACACAACTAACACGTGGCGAAAGCACACCTTACAATAAATACACATTTAGTCCGAAAAGTTTATTGTCCTTCCGTATGAAGGACACAGCTTCTACAAACGCGACACCATGCCTACAACACTAAAAACGAAAGCTCGCGTGTGTTCTCAGTTAACACAATGAGTAAGAACCAACGGAGCGTATACAGCTGAGAGCTCCGCATGCGCATTATTGATCAACACTGAAGCGAACATACGTGAAAAGTGCCACCAGGTACATCCGGCGGTGCACGCGATTCGCACCGAGTATTGATGTGTTCGGGTGTCTGGCCTGAGGACCAGAGCCAGCCAGAGTCTCGGGGAGTTGTCGAGGAGAGGAGCCGGGAGCTGCTAACAGTAACTTTTATTACATTATATGCAGGTAGCGTGTTATTAGATGATGAGAGCAGCAGCATGGAAGCTCTCGACGAAAGCATGATGGGAGCTTCTGCGAGCTTGTGAGAGTTTGTCGGGAGCGCCTCGGCGCTCGCATTTTATGTCCTGTCCTTCCCAGGATTCCCTGCAAGAAAACAATGGAGGCCCGAACAGTCCAATGAAAATTGCCATATTCACCTTCGCCCCCGAAAGGAGAAGGTGAAACGCCACCTCCTTCCTAACCCACGAAAGGGGGAAAAGGCACCCCCAGTTCAGCCCATGGCGAGGGAGAAACACTGCACATCACGTACGACACAGCACAGCACGAAGAGGTTGAGTCTTACGTGGAAGTCAATTTCGCAGTCTGTTGGAGTGATGGCTTTGTGGCGCCAGGCAGACCACGAATTGTGGAAACAGCGGCATCAAGGCACCACGGAGAACGTGGGGAATGCATCTGCAGACGGTTGTCAGACGCTGGGCCTTTTGATCGGGGCATCTTGACGACAAAGCACGCCGCCTCGACGGCCAACAACTCTTCCTAACCCGTCAGTTGGTCAGGCGTGTCCAATGGGTTCTACGAGGGGCACCGATGACCTGGGATAACTAGAAGAACGATTTCTCTGTTGTCGCCACTCTTGCTGCATCTCTAGGAGCGCTGAGTCGGAAGAAATCAGGGTGGGATGAGCCACCATGTCTCATGCAACAAAGCTGCGTCAAGCCAGACAGGCCGATCATAACAGTATACACTACAGCTGGGAATCACACAGCTTTCCTAAAAACGCGCAAAAGAAGCAGTACTTTTGAATTGACACGCTGCTGGCAGAGAACACCTACCACTCCGCCGGCGCCGCTTCCAAGGCCGCCGCGGCGGCTGCTCACCGGAAATCGCGAAGTGTTTATCTACTTTACCGCTAGGAGGTAGTGCGGGTGTTTTGCGATGTGGCGGCTTCACGAATATGACGTCATGGCCTCTCCTATATTTTTCCTTTCTCCATGTCTACCAATGGAACACACAAACTCCCTCTTGAGCGAACGGCAGGGTCAGAATGGAGCGCGATGCGCGCGTCTTTCTTCTTGCATGAGTTGGCACGCTGGGCACAGCGACGCTACGCTAGCAAAACGTGAGCTCCGACGCGAGGCGCAACTGAGGTGACCAGCGTACGTTGGCGCGTCGAAAGTTGGCACCGTTTCAGTGCCAACTTTCGGAAGTTGGCACTGAACCAACCGGAAGTTGGCACTTCTGGTTGGTTTCGCATATTTTCGCAGAGTAGAAAAAAATGCTCCACGGAGTGGCTCACGCGACGGACCTGCTCCAGATCTGCCAATGGAACATACGTGGAGCACTCCCATTCTGATAATGGAATAGACTTGCTCCGCATGAAGCAGAAGAAAGTATTACCGAAAGTGCTCCGAATCTGCCAACAAACGACACAAATAGTTAACGAGCATCCTAAATGGGAGTTATGTAGGCGGAAGGTCAGGAATCACCAATAAAAATAACATGTAGTATTTTGTTTTGTTTTCTTAAAGTGAATTCCAAAAGCTCTAGTCACAAACCAGACGTCGTTTTTCTAGATTTCAATTGTTGCTTACTAAACTTAAATAGGCATCTTACCATTTATACGTGGCAATAAAATAGCGTTCGTCTTAGCACCATTCGAAAAGAGCAACACAATGCGAGGCTTATTACGTAATAAAATTAGTAGAGGAAAGAAAATCCTGGGAAGAAGTATTCCAAGCAATTTTTTGTTCCATTGAAAAATTACCAGTTTCGCTGCAAGGGCGAAGCAATGCAGAAAGATGGAATGTTATACGAGTTAATTAAGGCTAGCAGCTAACTACATCAGTATTTGAGGTGACGTAACTCGGCGAAACCTTAGCTTAAAGGAACGTGGCCGCTGCACTGAGGGAAGCAAGCTTCATGCTGTCTATTGCCTGATCGCCAACCAAGCGTTGAAAACAGCACTTACAAGTGGATGAGGCACCTGCTCATTCATTTCAAGACAGGGAGCGCACGACCGCGCCAGGCCGATCACAGTGCGCAGTTCTTGACGATGCAGAACCACCTCCCCCCCCCCCCCCCTCCTCATTCCCGTGCACGGTTCTTTTTGTCCTGTTATAATGGCTCATACCCAGGCAGGGGATTCGCCGAGTAGTATAGGTGAATTTTCAGGGACGAAGCTCCTCTTAGTCTAACCTTGTCCTGCATCAGGCGTGACCGGCAATATCTTCCAAACAGTACAATGATGGCGCTATCTCATTACCATTTCTTGTCTCATTTCCTAGATGACGTTACTTCAATAGAAGTGTGTGCAAGAGGAAGGATGTGCGCATGGACGGACAATTGGACGGACGATTGGACGGACGAATGGACGGATGGATGCATGGAAGCATGGACGGACGCGCAGATTGACGCATAGATGGACTGATGCACGGACGGGTGGGCGAACCAACGGATGGTCAGATGAGTGGACGGACGCATGGACGGAAGCACGGATGGATGCACGTATGGACGGACGATTCGCGGCCGGGCGGACGAGCCGAAGGATCAACGGATGGACGGACGAACCAAAGGAAAACTGACGAACGGAAGCAGGGACGCATGCATGGACTGACGCACGGATTGACGACCGAAGGAACGCATGGATGGATGCTTCGCCCCACTCAGCATCCTTCAATTCATGAATTCGCTGCAACTTTTTCAGTATTTTCTTTAGTATACTACTCATATAAGCAAAAAATAACTTATATAATGCATTTAATTATGAATTTTTATTGCTGAGATACTTAAAAAATGGACTATATAGCTAGATATTCTTTTAAGTTGATTGATATTTCCCTCAATAGCGAGGAAAACATCCCTGTGACTGTAGCTCAGAGTAGAGGCACTCGCTTCTGGAGCATACGACGCCCGGGGCGATGTTATCGATCGGGACTTTACACGGCATCTAATGGCGATGGCAGAAATGTGCATGGGGTGTGCATATATATAATTGTTATCGCAATAGCAAATGGCTCACTTACATATTGCCACATGCTAGTTGCAGTATAGGCAGCTGGAGAAGAAACAAGTTGGTGGCTGCTGTTGCTGAAAGCATTCTGTCTTTTGGAGCCTCTATTTTTGGGTTTTCCTGTGCAAAAGTTTGCGTGGCTGTGTGGAATTATCTGACTGAGACCAAAAAACTAACAAATTTGTTTATATTATTATCCCCCTGTGTCGGCACATAACGTTTTTTTTATTTATTTAGTTTTATTTTTTGAGCTCAGGTTTTTCCAAGTTCTGATCAATTACTAATAAAAAAGATTCATAGTTGGTTCATTGCAATGAGCATCAAAATTTTGTTCAGAAATTTCGTAACATTTCCATTTTATAACCTCCATGGCTATAAAATGGAATGACATTTTAAAATATAGCTCATTTGTTGGTAAATACCCTACAGTTGGCACGATCCACAAGAGAAGGTATTGAAGAACAACAAGAAAAACAGCCATCGACTCTTGGCCGATCCTCTTGATTGGGTAGGTGCTGAAATTATAAAAAACATCATCATCGTCATCAATAAACAGCCGTTCACTACTTGTCAACCCGTTTGTCATTTCCTCCCTATTAAGACGACTTCTTGGTTTGGTGTATATAAATCGTCCGTGCTAATAATAGAAGTAGCCAAAACAAATACATATAAACAAGCACCAACGAAAAAGGCGGGATGATCGAGGCGCACCACAAACGCTTGTGCGAATCCATGTACATATATATGCAATTCCTTTAACGGGTATCCCAGTAGGTAAGATGACATGGGTGAGAGTGTGTCGGTGAACGGCCCAGCTATCAATACGACATAGCTTAGTAATTGTATAAACCAGGGGTCTCAAACACGCGGACCGCTTGCGGCTTGCCGAACCCTCGCTGGCGGCCTGGGGCCCGCCACTTACTCTCTTCGCCCGAAAGCTTTTCAATTCTAGTAACTATGTTTGTCTTGCAATTGCCATGTGTTGATACATTACCAATGACACAAACTCAGAATCTGCGTCCAGATTGATGTAATTTTCAAGATCGAGATCAGTATCGATATGTTCATATAGCGTCGCCAAGTCTTCTTAGGAAATGACTAATATACGATCGTATGACGCATGTGATGGGCCTGTCAAAGGGCAACGTTAGCTAAAACTTTTTCAAAAAACACCAGGTTCCGCCCCTTCCCCTCCCCCTTTGCTGTTTGGCTATCGCGGCCCTTGAAGGAATAACTTATGTCGACTGCGGCCCGCTAGTTGAGGTGAGTTTGAAACCCCTGGTATAAGCTGTACCATGGCGAGTATCGTTCGCCTCCGGCCTTTCGTTGCACTCAGACTTACTAGAATGAGAAAACGGTGCTCGAGGTTCGGACTGGGCTGCACGCAGCCAAAACTGGGTGTTCGGGCAAGCTCGTGGCCCGTTGGGTCAAAACTGGGTGTGAAGCCTGCCTTTCCTGTGCACAGGTACACTTGGTCGATGCGCAGACTGGCACTCAGTTCTTCTAATGGATTCCACAATACGCGACCAAACAACGTTTCCCCTGCCGTCACACACAAAAAAAGGACAGAGAAATAAGCACTCAAACAAAAATGAACGATATTGTTTATAGCAAGCAGCAAAACACATAGAGATAACAATATTCTTATAGACGATAACATCACTTGAATTCTGCGACATCATTCACGCACTTTACACTCTTAAACGTAAGAGAGTGCTCGGCACTCTTTTTGGGAGAGTACTTTCTTGTACCATATTTCACTCTCTTTTCCAGAGTAAATACCTTCTTTCTGAGGCAGAGTACAGTGATTCCCCCAAAACGGGTCAAAACGGGTCAAAGCACTCCTCCTCAACGGAGTAACATAACGCTGCCCAAATCAGAGTAGTATACCCCCCCCCCCCCCCCCCCGAAGAATATATAGTACATCCTACGAAAAAAAACAGCAAAACTTCAGCGAAAATTCGGCTTTTTAATTGTTTTTGATGGATCTCAGCGCCCGCAGAAGGTAAGGATTGATAAATTCGAGCACTACGACAAAAAGTTTAAATGTGAAAAAATTGGTATAACCCACGCACAGTGGTAATCGATGATATTCGAAGCACAAATGAGGACGGTTCATATATGATCAGCACAACGTTACAAGGCGGACATAAATAATGCCGTACATAACTTCCATGGGATGATTATCATGTATGGACGCATCATTTACCTTCGTCGTCCGTTCGCATCACGTGATACCTAATATCGTATATGTGAAGCCAGTGAAACGGTCATGAGCACATCATGAGCTTGGCAAGTAGTCATGTTGTTACATGACACGCATCTCATGATTATTATGTTTGCACCAGTCACATACCTTCGTTATCGGTTCACATCCCGTAATACCAAATTAGGTATATGTGAAGCTATCGAAACGGCCGCGAGAGCATTATGAGTGGGTAATGTAGTCATGTTGTTAGATTACACAGACGTCGTGACTCATGACTATCATTTTGGACGTGTTATTTACCTTCGTCATTTATACACGTCACGTAATACGAAATTTGGTATATGTGAAGCTAGCGAAACGGCCGCAAGCGCATCATGAGAGTGGTATGTTGTCACGTTCTTACATCACATGCATGTCATGATTATCATGTTTGCGCCAGTCATGTACCTTCGGCATCCATTGACGTCACCAAACACCAAAATTGGTATAGGACCGTGAGTGCACTATGAGTGTAGCATTTAGTCATGTTATGTATACATTAAATGCATGTCATGATTATCATGTTTGGACGTGTCATTGACCTTCGTCAACCGTTGACGTAACGTAACACCAAAATCGGTATATGTGAAGCTAGTGAAATGACCGCTAGCGCATCATTCATGATCGTGGCACGTAGTCAAGTTGTTGCATGACATGCATCTTATGATTATCATGTTTGCACTAGTCACATGCCTTCGTCATCCATTCACGTCCCGTAATAACAAATTCTGTACATGTGAAACTAGCGAAATGGCCATGAGCGCGCTATGAACGTAGCAAGTGGTAATGTTCTAACATGGCACGCATCTCATGAATATGTTTTCACCAGTCATATACATTCGTCATGCATGCACGTCCCGTAATACCAAATATGGTATATGTGAAGCTAGCGAAACGACCGCGAGCTCACTATTAGCGTGACGTGTAGTCATGACTCATGACTTACATGACATGCATATCATAATTTTCATGTTAGGGTGTGTTACTTGTGTTCGCCATGCAGTCATGTCACACTAGATATCAGTTTTGCAACATGTGAAGAGCAGCAATATTATGAAATGCAAGTCATTACATTCATGACATAGATCTCATAATAGTCATGTTATGACTAGTCAATTACGCTCTTTATACCGTCGTGTTATGCCATACCGAATTTGGTGTCGATACTATTAACGTAACGGCCAGGAGAGCTAGAAGTCGTAGGTGGCAAGATAGAAAAATACGCTCAAAGTCACCTAAGTGCGCTAAGCGAATCTTCGCATTTAAAAAAAATTATTACTAACTGGGACTCGAACCTTTGATCTCTAGAGGCACTAAAGGTGGTGGGCGACACACGCTAACCACCACACCACATTTAATGACGCTAAGTGGCCGTTTACTTTAGTATGTCGCAAGTCATGTTGGTGATATGTCTGCATTTTCTTGTTTAGAAGTGTAGATTTGAGTGTCTCCGCGCTTCTAGAAACCAGCTGGACTGTAGCTAACGTGTTCACTGTGTTTGTTTTGTGCTTCGTGAGATGAGAACCTCTATCCGACACGTCTTTCACAGTAGAGCAAAGAATATGAGCGCAACCGATTATATGAACGTCCTTTGCGCGGAATCGCTAAGTGCTTAGTCATTTCTGTGTGCGAAACATCGCGCTTCTGAACTGTACACTAAACAATTTTGTTGTTGTTTTTTCACCACCTTAGGAATACTTTTGGTCATTCTTCTTCCCGTTTTATGACTAAAGCCATAATACTTCATTGTAGCCATACCGTGCGTTAGGCTTTCGGCACCATCACGCGTGTGCGATGGTCGTAGCGGAAAACATGAACATTAATACCAGAAGACTGTCACAGACTTTTGCATTGAGTTTTGATCGTGACCGATTGAATGAAATAGTATTCCCGTATTTCACTAGTCAGATCTGAAGCTAAAAACTTCGATATTAAGCGTTTAAAGTGTCTTCCAGTGCACTGAAATTCATTGGCACGCGCTGAAAATGCAGTTCCTTTTGTTAATCATTTCCAACGCCTCCAAGAACAAACGCAGTACGTTTTACTGCTTATATATATAGTTAATAAGTAGTGCTAATCACTCGCGGTGGGCCAACGCATCTAAAAGTAATCAAGAGCAGGAGTATAACAGCGTTTTTACTCTCTCATGCCTGAAAAGTATATGTGCATTCTACTCTCTCAAATAGAGGCAGAGTAAAAAGCTGTTTCACTCACTCGTTTCATAGAGAGCGAAAATGAATTTCACTCAATTTGATGTTTTGGAGAGTAGAAGAACACTCTGAAAATAACTTGGCCTTTTTATTAGTGCGATAGCCTCCACAGTTTTTAGAGTGTAGAACTCGTCAAACTACATCGTTCTCCCGAACCTTTCGCGTCTTCGAAGCGTCCGAAGTGGCGTTTACAACTTGAAGTGAATGTAATGCAGCAGAGGAGCATTTGTGTAATAGGATCATGTGGGGCATCGGATGACATTGAAGGATTGGGAAAGCTCCGCGTATACCTCTATGTTGAGGCTATCTTGAAAGCTCTGCATAGCTCTATTCATGCCTCGTATAACAAATGCATACCGTTTAAGCACCACAATGAACCAAACGAGGCTTAATTCACTCCCAAAAACAAAGCGACGGAATGACCAGAGGAACAACATTTCAGCTCTTGATATCAAGTACAATGTCTGTCCTTTTTAACTTTCTCAAATTATCGCATGATTATGTGCAGCATGTAGTAGCAGTATGATGGTAAAATAAATAAAAACTTAATTGTCTGCGGCACATGAATACACGCTAGCAACGTAGTATTGTAATGCTGTACTGCTACGGTAAAAAACTCTCGACATTTCAACACTTCCCGAATACTGTAAGCTTTTAACAGCGAGTACACACGTGTACCTCTGAAGAAGATGCGCCTCTCGTCGACGTCTTCGAATCCTTGGCGCAAGTCCCTGGGGTCGGAGAGGAAGTCTTCTTTGCTACTGAGCAACTGGAACTCTGTACCCAAGTTATAGACTGCTCCATTGAGGGCGTTGATGGGCAGAGGAGCCGACACTGGTATTTCGAACCTGCGACGCGCGTCAGTACACGTGCACGTGAACTTTGGGGACATGCACGTTGCTTCCAAAAGCTGAGAACTTGCGTGAGCTTTTGCACCGATATGTCACGATTAGAAAAGTTGAACGAAAAAGTTGAACTCTTTGTGGGAATCAATATCATGCAAAGCCGTAGGTGAGTTGTGACCTCTGGCCCATTTTTAAACAATTAATTCAAGTCAAACCTCGTGAGTTCGACCAACTTTGTGCATTTTTAGTATTATGAACTTCTCGCGGGCAGACATGTAGCGAAATGTTTTTTTTTACTTGGGAAACACTTGCTGAAAGCCTTGATAACTTTGGAAAGAACCTATTCTGAGGTGTGCGTAATTATTTGAAGGAGCAAGATCATTGAGGATGGGTGATACTAGGCCCCTCCCCTTCCCATCCCCAACGATAGAGACAGTGACCACAGCGTCGGAGACGAAGGAAGAACACATAAGACGTAGTGCTGAGTTTTCTTCCTTCGTCCCCAACTTTCGCCTCTGCAAGCTTTCCATGGCGCGATAAAATTTAGCCTACCAACCTATCACCGTGATGTTTCCCTCCCCCGACTACGGGATTTATCGTGGGCTTACCAGCCACGTCGACTAAATTGAAGGCCAAAGGGTGTCGATGTGGTCCGACGTAAAGACTGCATTCATATACGGCATAGGTGTCAGTTTTACCAAACGTATTGTTGCAGGCGAAAGCATCCTTTGAATAATGTTATATAAAAATTAGAATCAAGTTTTAACAAAGCGGCTAACAGGGTCTCTTAGCATGAAAATTAGACTACTCGAAGACTAAAGTTATCATGCTTTCATTTTTTTGTCTAAGTCGGTCTATGCATACTCCCCTGCCCCCCTCCACAAGGTTTTAAGTGGTTTAGCGCTTCCTCGAGGATTGGAGTCATTGCAAACTTTGTGATGTGGCTTGGAGTTTCCCTATGCCTCTATGATCAGCCCATCTTTGGCAAAGTGACAATATCGTGTGATGACGTCGTCAAGTAACGCAACCTATAGCGACGTCAGAACGACGTTGTGATGGCGTCCTGGTTACGTCACAAATTTTGCAATATGTGGCATCGTGATGGCATCATACGGTGGCGCCAACATGTGTAACTATATAATGCATCATTCGTGGTGATGCCGTGGATGCCGACGATTCATTTTCGCGTTTGATGAGGAATATAAGGCTTTAGCCTTCAAAAAGTTGCTCCTACACTAGGAGTTGCTAGGAAAAGCGATATTCTACAGCCCTACAGCGATGGTAAAAGTTGGAAAGTAGAGAAAGCAACCTGGACACGGACATCGGTGCATCGAAACAGCCTCGAAATCAGGACCTCAAATATGAATTTTAAGCGAAGTTGAATTTATACCTCAGTGGTTCGAGGGGCGTGCAGAAGTCCTCTGGAGGGATTCTGTAGTCCTGTGCTGGCGCGGCAACGCACGGCACGAGTTCCAGCTCGTGGAGGCCCGAGTAGTCCTTCGAGAAAGCGAACAAAACAGGCACATTGCACTGCAAGACAAAGTTTGACTCTTTTTTTTTTATACATGCTGGAGTCACATGTGAAGCACTCTGTTTAGAGAGCCATGTTGACTTTCTATTGAACAGTCGTGACACGTACGACTATGAAAAAGAGAGTCAATCCGACTTTAGTTTGAAGAGAGTGCTACACATTTGACTCTCGTATGTTTAAAAAAGGACACTTTCTTCTTAAAGTTCATGCACGATATATGTTTCAGATCATGGTGAAATTCTATAGAAGGCTTTACTAATAAGATTCTAACGACATTGGCGTAGTCAAGGGGAGGGGGGTGTCAGGGCATTGACCCCCATGGCAATTTTTTATTTTGGTTTCGTATACATACACGCACACATACAAACGCACGACGTGAACATGCACGAAGTATGGTTGAACCTCCCTCCTCCCTCCCCACCCCCCCACACACACAAAGAATAAAAGAAATCTGGCTGCCCTCATGCTCCCTGCCTAAACCTGAGCGTTCTGAAGAGCGTACGTCATTAGCTGTTCAACTAGAGTTAGCGAACAGCGAAAGCATTGAAAGCCAGTTTATAGTGCATGCCTTATCAATTGCGAAATATTTAAACTTCTTGTGATTCCGATAGTGAGTTTTGCGGAAACACTGTAAACAAAACATTTCCTTTCGGATAGCTTGAACCGGATTTTTCAATAGCCACAGACAGTCTGCACTCAATATGAGTGAAAAAAAAGGCCACCTGGTGTACATAATAATATTATCCTGGATGACGCGTCCAAAAATAACATATGATTATGAGTGACGTCGCAGTGTAAGGCTCCAGAAATTTCGAACGTCTGCACTTACACCGCACAGTACGCGGGTATATCACTTCGCCTCTAAGCTCTAGTAATGTTGGCCTCCATCATACCACTTCGCCTCCATGGTATTGCGACCACCACGGCTGGGATGGAACCCGCGAACTTTGGGTCAGCAGCTTGGCAGCTTTGTCATTGCTTTAACGTAGAAGCAGGTTCAATAAATAATTCCTAAAGGGACACTGATATACTTAAAAAGAAAACCAGATTATGGTGCCATGATACTAAATTTTGTGCGGCAAACTCAAAAATCAAGTAAAAAATTTGCAGAAACTGACACAAGTCACTTTATTTTGCCGAAAACAAGAGAAGGGTGCCGCTGTCGTCATCGCTGTGATTGGTCGAAGCTTCATGACCTCATGGTCAGGAATGTGAGGTCAGCTGCCTGTGCTCGCTGGCAGTCAATGCCGTGTTTATCTGTTTGAATCAGGTAGTTGCTGTAAGTATGGCGAAATGTGAAAGTCGGTCCGAGTTCGCTGTATACATTCGTACATGTTCGAGCGGGTCGCCACTTTAAGGGCGACGACTGAAGTAGCACAAAAAAAGCGAGTCCAAAGTGGCCACCTTCACTTGCGTCGGAGAAATACTGGTAGCTATAATATCCATGCCACTGCTTAATTTCACTGTAATAAACTGTTACTAATTATATGCGTATTAGTGGATATCAAATCCGTTAACAAACAGCACAGAGCAGCATCGGCACTTGCTTTTAGCCGCATATTGGCACGGTCCACGCTAGGTGCGGGAAGCGTGCAGGAACATCAGCTGTTCGTGAATCTCGCAGCTCAGAGTGCATTGTCGTTAATGCAGTCAGTGTCGTAGTTTGCAGCGCACGCGATGAGTCAGTATGCTACCGCGAGAAAAAAAAAGCCAGACGGGTTCCGCTCTTGACGCAGTGGAGATATGTGCTCTGAAGTGCGCTGAAAATTGCGCAGGAATACTTCGGCTCATATATCGCAGTTCTGTTGTTTTATAACACCGTCGCTTTTACTGAATTTTGTCCAGTGCTACAGTAATGGTACAGTTAAAATGCAAACAATAAATTAACTGCGCTAGAAAAAAACACGCGACAGTTGGGTACAGTAACTGATTCCGATTATGTGTACTGATATCTTTGCACACGTGTTTTTGCCATAGGTGCTCATGCACGCACTGAGTACAAACGGGGAAAGAGGAGGAGTGCTGCTGCTGCCTCGAGATCCGGCAGATTCGCGACCGCCACAGTGCGCTTCATCTCGTAGGTTTGAATGAATGAATGAATGAATGAATGAATGAATGAATGAATGAATGAATGAATGAATGAATGAATGAATGAATGAGCTTTATTTAAAGTCCACCAGTTTTCACCGGGCGGGGTGGGGGACGAGGGGATTAAACCCTGTTCCTTCCCACTCTCCGTGGATTATGATTTGAAGTATCATTTCTTTAACTGCAGCGGCCTATTTTGCAGTCATCTTCTAATCCCGATGAAACTTGTGAAAAGGGACCTCATCACGACCCGGTAAGTGCTGCGGCAGCCATATGCCGTGCAGTAAGTCGGCAACACGAGTCTACTGCAACCTTGCACAAACACAACTAGTGAATGTCGGATGGCGAAATTTTTTATTCAGAAAAAGAGAACGGTCAAATGGACAGAAATCCCTACGAACTGGCAGAACTGAAGCTTCGCCAGGCAGCAGATCGCCGCAGAAACAAGGCACAACGGCGAAGTAAACAAGCTGGGATGACAGGCGATGCAGGCGGCCCGGTTTTGCGCTGGGCGGCGGCTTCACCCTGATGGTGACGTCACCTCCCCACTTGTCCATCTCTCATAAGCTTCGCCCTTGCACGCGTGCGTGCCGAGAGGGCGTTTCCTTAGTCAAAGTTTGCTGCGCCGTTGTTTATTCGAACATCGCGAAAAAAAAAAGTCTCCATAAACACGCTGTAAAAGGTCGTGTATACTGAATTCGCGATAAATTGGCGAATTCGAAACCTCTTCAGTATCGACAAGTCATAAGAAGAAATTACTACAAGACATTCGCGTTCATCCGTCCTCAATCTTTGCCAGTTTAGTGTTAAATATTTTACAACCCACTAAGGGACATGTCCGGGCTAGTTGTTTGGTGTTCATAAAAGTTATGGCGTAGCGCATCACGACAGGGACAAAGAAGGGCAAACACATGCGGCGCCGACCTTCTCGGTCCCTGTCGCGATGCGCTACGCCATATGAATCATAACTCACGTGACAAATCATTTATTTAAATACAAATCACCAATGGAGCTGTCACCGCGGGTGCTCGCGATGGCTGCTTCTTTTGACTTGAGTAGGCAGTTTCGATCTGGCGAGTTTAGTGGAGTACTGGGATCGAAATGCGCTTTAACAGAAAGCCAAACAATGCAGAGCGTTTACTGTACACACGCTTTTTCTTCCTATTCTTTTTTGTTACCAGCCACCATAATCTAGTGATTATTGTTCTCAATTACTGACCAAAAGGTCTCGGGATCGTATTCGGGTCATAGCGACCACCCTTCAGTGGAGACAAAACGCAAAAAGCTCGTGCATTTCGATTTACGTGCACTGCACGTGGTCAATATTTCTGGAGTCTTCCGCTACAGCGTCCCTTGAAATCTTGTTGCAATTTCGGTACGTTAAACTCCAGGAATTAATAAATGCGAAACATTTCTTAGCGAACTTCGGCGACTTTCAGCGTATCTATCTATCTATCTATCTATCTATCTATCTATCTATCTATCTATCTATCTCCACCTACGACTTTTGGCTCTCCTGGCCGTTTCGATAATGGTATCGGTACCAAAATTAGTATGGCATAACATCACTGTATTACGAGCATAAGTGACTAGTCATAACATGAAAATCATGATATGTATGTCATGAATATTATGATTTACAATTACTGATCTTGCTGCTCTTGCGGTGGTTTCGTTCCCATGACATATTGCAAAACTGGATTGATTTACACGACTGCATGGCGAACGTTAGCGAGAGACACTAACGAAGAATTCATGACATGCATGTAATGTAAGTCATGACTACACGCCACGCTCATGATGCACTCGTGGCCGTTTCGCTAGCTTCACATATACAAAATTTCGTATTACGTGATCACATGAAGTGAATAGACCACCAATGTAAATGGCACGCCCAAACATGACAATCATGACATGCATGTCATGTAAAACATGTCAACATGCTACGCTATTAGCGCGCTCGTGGCCATTTCTCTAGCTCCACATATACCAAATTTTGTATCACGTGATGTAGGTAAACGACGAACGTAAACGACATGTCTAAAAATGATAATTATGACATGAATGTCATGTAAAACATGTCAACATGCTACGCTTATAGCACGCTCGCGGCCGTTTCTCCAGCTCCACATGTACAAATTTGATATCACGTGACTTGAATAGACGAGGAAGTTAAATGACATGTCCAAACATGATAATTGATTTATATGTGAGGTTTCACGTCTCAAAACTACCACATGCACCGCATGAATATGAGAGTCGCCGTAGTGGACCACTCCGGTAATTTCGACCACCTGGGGTTCTTTAACGCGCGCCCAAATCTGGGCACACGGGCCTACAGCATTTTCGCCTTCATCCCAAACATGATAATTGTCCGCCTCGTAACAGGTTAGTGATTTTAAAGTGACATACATTTTCCTCAGTCATAGTTGGGTGGCCATTGAAAAACTTAAGACCACGGTCAATGCTACTGTCAGGCTAATCAGAAGAATCACTAACCATAAGAGCGGGGTTAAAGAAAAAGAACTCTGTAAGCTGGTACAGGCGTTTGTGCTCAGCAGGATTACTTACGCGACACCTTATATGAAGTTGGATGCCGCAGAAAAAGGCAAGGTTTAGGCTATGATCCGGCAAGCTTACAAGGCAGGGCTTGGGTTGCTTAACAACGCACCTACAAAAAGGCTTTTAAAACTAGGGGTGCACAACACCCTGGATGTATTATGGGAGGCGCATCTGGTGATGCAGCACGCTAGGCTTTCGACAACCAAAGCGGGCAGGATCATAATGGAAAGGATTGGCATTGGAACAGAGGCTCCCACTGGGGACACTAAAATTCAGGTGCGGCGAGAGTCACATAAGGCCCTGTACGTAAAACCATTGCCCAAAAATATGCATCTGATTCACCATACGCAGCGCAGGCAGGCAAGAGCCAGAGCTTTACACGTTGATTACGGCGAGTACAAAGCGGCAGTCTATACAGATGTTGCGGAATATAAGGACAAAGACGCTTTTATGATTGTGGTGGTGGACAGGCGGGGACGCTTGGTCGCCTCTATATTGGTCAAAACCCGATCCTCAGAAACTGCAGAAGAAGCGTCAATAGCGCTAGCTATAACTAATTCGCAGTCGGACTTGATTCTCACTGATTTAAAGACAGCCATCCGAAACCTGGCGAGGGGCGAAATATCGGCGACCGCCGCACGATTTCTGCATGGGGCCACGGGACGAGAAATTCGAGAAATGAAAATTGTCTTGGTACCAGCACACTCTGGGAACCCTGGGAACGAGGCGGCTAACCTGACTGCTCGAGAGAGAGAGAGAGAGAGAGAGAGAGAATTTATTTACAGAAAGGTAGAGAGGTCGGCCTGAGCTATGAATGCTCGAGGTTTCGTCAGCCGGGTAGGTGAGCCGCCAGCTCTGGGGAGGTCCGCGAGAGATGGGCTGGTGTCCTTTCGCGACAAAACGAGTCATTATAAACTAGGGCGGAGGTTTTATCCGCATCCGCACAAGAGGTTGACTAAGGCGCAGGAATGCGTCTGGAGAAAACTGCAGACGCGATCTTTTCCCAATCCTTACGTGTTGAACAAAATATACCCGGAGGAGAGAAAGCCGCAAAGCAAACGGTGTCAGGCTGTGGCAACATATGATCACATACTTTGGGAATGTAGCATAGTGCCACCACCGGTGGATATTATGCGTGATCCCTCTATTGAGCACTGGGAGGCTGTGCTGACCAGCTCAGACCCAGTCGTCCAGTGTAGGGTCGTGGAGTGGGCCACACAGGTCGCCGCCAACCTTGGGTTGATGGCCATCTAACATGGAATCATCCGCAGTTGCTTTCTGACGAAATAGTTTTACCATCTATCCATCAGTCATGGCTCACAAATCATTTATTCCCACTCTACGTGGTATCTGCCAGTTTTTGTTTATTTTTAATATAGAAGTAACTTAATATAGAAGTGATGACAACAATACCGAAGTAGGAATTCTCTTCTATACGGTAGATGTTACCAGCAGCTATGAAATGCTCTGCATTAATATGCCTGTTGCCTCGGGTAATCACCTATACTGGTCACCTGTTATCGACCTCCCAACTGTGGCGATCGTCTTATCAATAACCTGCTCTTGGCGTTGGCTGAGTTGAACTCTCGATTTCCTCGTGCGAAATTCTTTCTGTGAGGGGACCTTATTCGTCTTGATATAGACTGGGTCATCCTTATGGCCCCTTCACTGCTATCAAATAAGTTCATTCAACTCTCTCTCCTATTCAACCTCGCGAAGGTAAATAATACTCCAACTCGTGGCGACAACATACGCTATCTTGTCTTCGCTCCTCCCCTCGACCTGTTTCCCTCGATTACGTGTATAGAAGGTCTGAGTGATCGCCGCACCATATTATTCAACCTTTCTATTCCAGTACCTCGACATAATCCGCAGAAGAAGCTCATACGCGACTACAACAAAGCCAACGCCCACGCAATCATTACCAAATTTGAAAGCTTTTACGGTTTCTTATCTGAAATGGTCGTCATCGGAAGTGTACAACAGAACTGGCTTCTGTATTAGCAAAAGGTATTGACACTAATAGAAGAATACGTTCCGCTTGTGTCTGTTCGCTGTGACGATGATAGTCATTGGTATACAATATCCGTGAAAGAACTCTCACAAAAAAAAGAAACGCCTTTTCCGCGATACAAAATGTAGCACTTATCTATCAAAATGGGCAAATATTTCACTTGCCTTCGGAGATATGGTAGCACGCTGAAAAAAGCTAAAAAAAGTATTACCATGAATATATCCTAAAAATCATCTGCGACGAACCAAATAAGCATTGAAATATTATCAACCCGAACAATTTATCGCATAACATTCCACTATGCAAGCCTGATGGCTCACCGGTGCCAACCCAGCAGCGCTGTGACTTGATGAATTCTCACTTTTCCTCTGTCTCTAATAATGAGCCCCCAGGCAATATTCCGTAAGCCTCCGGGTATGCTTTTCCCCAGATGGCACCCGTCACCATAAATGCTCATGGTATCCTAAAATTATAAACCAACTCAAAACATCGAGTGCCCCTAGTCCTGATAACGTTCCGGCAAAGATACTAAAATCTACTGGAGCTATTACTAGCCACATTCGGCAAATCATCTTTTCTCAGTCTCTTTCCGAAGGTATACCATAACTTCGGACTAGAGGGTAGCCAAGACAACTCTGCAGTGTTCCAATCAGGTGACCGTTAAACCTATCTAATTATCACCCTGTTTCACTTACACGCATTGCCTGCAAAATCCTCGAGCACATTATTTATTTGCAGGTTGCCCATTATCTCAATAATAACCAATTCTTCTTAAAAAATCAGGACGGCTTCCGACCTGGTTTGTCCTGCGAAACTCAGCGTTTCGAATTCACTACAGACCTCCAACATAACTTAGATTCTCTATTTCAAACCAACACCATATACATTGACTTCTCTAAAACCTTCGATCGTGTTGCTCATCAACGACTAACAAAGAAATTCTGTAGTGTGAACTTGGATCCTTTAACCCTGTCGTGTACCCTATGCTTCCTAAGGCATTGATCTCTGCCCACTGACATTGCCGGTCTTCATTCCACTCCTGCTTCTGTTAAATCCGGTGTACCTCAGGGGTCTGTGCTCGGCCTCTTAATCTTCCTTATATATGTGAACGATCTACCATCAGGAATTTTATCATCAATTTGATTATTTGCGGACGACTGCGTCCTTTATCTCCGAATAACCACCCGTCAAGATCACGAAATTCTACAAAATGACCTATGCTTGATAGCTGGTGATCAATGTGGTTGATGCAGACCAATGTTTCCAAATGCAAAGTCATGCGCGTATCTTGCAAGCAGTCTAAATCGGAATACGTCTACAATTTAAATTCAATGAAGCTGGCATATGTCGACAATTACAGATACCTTGGCGTGCTCATTTCTCACACTGTCACATGGTCGAATCTCGTGACACACTTACTTGCTGACGCATCGAAAAAGCTTGGTTACGTCCGAAGAACTTTATGCCTATCACCTCCTACAGTTCGTAAAATTGCGTACATAACCTTAGTTCGTACGAAGCTCGAATAAGCGTCTTCCATTTGGATCCCTCACCAAACCTATCTAATTAATATGTTGGAATCCGTTCAGAATATAGCTGCCTGGTTTATCACGTCCAATTACAATCACTCATCAGGCATCACTTTGATAATGGATTCTATAGACTTGCAGAATCTAGCTGACAGATATATGTTTTCTAGGCTTTGTTTATTTTATAAATTATATTATTTTTTTCGTGAATTGCACGGCTCTGTTTTACTTTCTCCCACCCGCTACTCTCGGCGGCTATTTAATTCTCGAAGCCTGCAGCATCCTTTCCGTAGGACCGCTGTATTTAACAATTCGTTTCTTCCTGTCGCCATCAAGGAATGTAACCGGAAGCCATAGTCACGGCGCATGACTAGTGCGCAGTCACACCGCTACTAACTGCTCACTTAAAACTTGGAGGCCCACTAACCACCGTCACTGTATTTTGTGCTCTTGTGTGTGTAAATTGGTGCGCACATGTTTTTATATCTGTATAAGCATATTTATTTACGTCTGTTCTCAGACCCTGCAAAGGTATTGCTCATGTATTAGTACTACTTTCTTATTTTTTTGTTTTTTCTGTATTCAGTAAAATGTTCTACCCCCTTATGTAATGCCCCTAAGGAGCCCTTAAAGGTCAAGTGAATGGTGATGATGATGATGACGACAACCATGAATATGATGATGACGACGACGACAACGACGACAATGATGATGATGATGATGATGATGACGACGACTGCCTAGCCTTCCTCGAAATATAAGAAAACGCACCGAAACACCGAAACTTGAATAAAACTGAGTAGGCACATCAGCTTCGAATATGTGAACCAAATTAAGACATACATTATCTTTCACAAGACGTTGTACCCAGCATGTAGTTCACAAAAGCGAAGGGCATCCTGCGAGTGAGCGCGAAAACTGTGTATAACGGGAGAATAACGATGGAATGCATAATTAGGGCGAAGCATGTTACATGCTGCGCCACGGGCTTGACTTATCACAGAGCGCAGAGATAGAGAGAAAAATATGTGAAAGATATATAAGGCAGGATTAGTATGATGCGAAAAACGCTTGGTTGGCTATACCTATTTTGGAGTGAAGGAAAGAGAAATAGAAAGTTCATAGAGCCGGGAAGAGTAATAAGGTTAATGGGCGCACGTGCGCACCAAATAGTCGAATGCACAAAATTATCAAGCCATCCATTTCATCGCCTTCTGTAACAGTGTTTGATAAGCATACCGTGCGCGTTACAAAACACCAAATCAAATATATCAAAGGTTATGTCCGATTATGTTGGGATTGATCGACAAGGCCTTGCATAACTCAATGGTGTAGAGTGATATTACAACTAAATATGATTTACGGTCCTTAAGGATTACAGACTGGATTCCAAGGGGGAGGGGAGACAGAAAGTTAGGAGAGCAGATGAGATTAGGGAGTCTGCGGGCATAAATTAGCAGCAGCAAGCATATGACCGAGTTGACTGGCGGAACATGGGAGAGGCCTTAGTCCTGCAGTGAGCGTAATTATACTGGTGGCGATGATGCTTTATGGGTTGATCTAGTAAGACAAATACCTTGAAACTCTGCTGAGACACGGCTTTCCAAAGCTGGGACGGTGCGTCGAACGATGGCTCCGCCCACAGCCGGGTGAGCGAGTAGAGGCCCAAGTCCCCGGACGACTTCTTTAAGAAGCGGCCGCGGACGTGCTTCTTCATTGAATGGTTCAGCGCCAACATGCCTGCACAGGACCGACGGAGAAGCCAAGACCAAGAGATACTTTTGGGCACACACTGCCTTGCAAGGTTTTTGCGCTGCAGCGTGTACATCTTCCCAGCTTTGGAAGGGCAATCAAAAATACTGACCAAAGCAAGCATTTAGTTCTTTGATGGCTTATATAGGTTGTGTTCTTCTTATATAGTGTTCGTTTTTTTTTCGCATCACACCGCAGCACCACCCCCCCCCCCCCCCCGTCATTCTACCGACGCACGATCACTCAATGTCCTATATCACTCAATGTCCCATAATGCAGTATGAAGACTAGCTATGGTTATAAGACGTTTACTTCAACTATATTGAATTGTAAGATATACAAAATATTATTGAGCAGTTCTGCTTTCCTGTATAACATCAGGAAAGCAAAGAAAGAAAGTTCCCGTGCAGCTCAGGCATCAATGCTAGAAAACCGCGTATAGCGCAGAAAAGAACACGCGAAAAAGTGGTTAGCCACCTATGTGTAACTGCTTTCGCAGTCACGGCAACAACGAAAGACAAAAGTGAGACATCGAAATCTTTCATTTTTTATATACACATCAAGTTTCTCCATTCTTTTAAGTGAATTCATGGTGAAGTGTACAAGTCCAGTCTCGTTGTCACATCTTTACTCCTTGTGGAGCTCTTTCGACGGAAGCGATAAATGACAGGTATTGCAGACGCCAGCGCACGCAGCCTTCTGCCTGTTGTGTTCCCACGGCTGTGCCTAAATAAGATAGTAGAAATAGTTAGACACACGTGACAGAAGATGAAGATGCACGCATATGACAAGTACGTGCAAGTTAATATGAAACATGCGTGTAAAATATGACACACAAATCACTTTACCTTCACATCTCGCAAGGTCTTTCTGAACCTTCTCTGACGAAAGAGATTAATGACAGGCATCGCCGACGCCAGCGCACACAGCCTTCAGCACGGTGTGTGAACTCGGCTGCACAATAAGTATGCAAAATAGTGAGTCACACGTGACAGAGGATGAATAGGAATGCATATGAGAAGTACCTGCAAAGTGAAATAAAAACATACGTGAGGTATGACATGCTAATAATTTCACCGTGATGTCACACATCGTCAGACTCATTTCGATCCCCTTAGCACAACAGCTTAGGAGCGGCGGCCGCAGCCACAACTCCGCGAACCACCGTGCCGCCAACAAGTCGGCGAGTCCTAAGCGAGCGACGTCGTTCAGCTCGAGCAAGTGAACGCGAGACCAAACATGGTGCTGCACGTGGAGTGTCTGCCACCAGCGAACTTCGAAAAGGACAGGGAGCGTACGCTTGGCCGCCGCCACGAACAGCGCTGAGCTGATTTGGAGCTAGCGCCAAAGAAATCGACGGTAATGCGGCTGTTTTCCACAAACTCGAGCCAGTGAAACGCAAACGCGAGTCCGCCGTCACGGCCGACGGACGGCGCCGAGCTGCTTGCGACCGACTGACGGGAAAGCCAACTGCAATGACGACCAATTTTCACTGAGTTCCGACGCCAGCGAAAGCCCCGCCAGCCTGTTCTGGTGCACTTACAGCGTGCGACATACTACAACCAAGTTCGTTACGAGAGCCCGTAACGTGTTTTCGACGACTCCCAACACAGCGACGAGGTCTCAGCCCAATATCGTCAGTCCAATATCGTCAGACAGGCGAGCACTCGATGAGTGAGCGCACGGGAGGCCGACGGCAATGGCGGTCAATTTCCAGGCGGTCGCAAAGCACAGGCGAATGGCAGACGCCCAATCTGACCTTCGTGGTGCATTCGTGCGTGCGATATACAACACGATCGAGTCCGTTGCCGGCAAGCACGATCCGTATCGCACACGCGAAGAGTAGAATGATGAATGATAACCTACTTGCGAAAAAATCCAGCGCTGATTTCTGCCCTGAGTCGGACTGAAGTATATATCCGATAGGCCTGTTTTCTTCTCGGCCACCGTGTTGGCCTTCCCAACTACTTCTGTCGTGTGTTGGTCGTGACTATCTCGAAGCCAGAGATATACAGCGCGGCGTGGTAACGTGTCGAGACTTGCTCCAGACTTCATGGGTGCAGCGAAACGTAAAAGCAGCAGCCCATGCTCATCCAAGCGTAGACACAAGCACCACGTCGTAACTCCCAGATCGTCGAATTCAGGCGGCCGTGGTCGAGCACTCCGAGCGTGACGCAACGCGAACCGCCACCAGCGAAATACGGGGAAAGGCTGAGCCAGGAGAGGAGGAGGACGGCTAGTGACCTTGGCAACGCTTTGAACACTGCCTGCAATCCTCCGGGGGGGGGGGGGGGGGGGGGGTAGACACTGCACCGTGCTCCCGACCGGGTTGCAGAAATTAGGTGCCTTTTCTCATCTTCTAATCACTACCACCACCACCAATCCCCGAGTGCACGGTTCATCCCTTTGGAGCGTGTTTGGAGTCCAAGTGGTTTGCACGTGGCACGCTTCTCTCTGTGGTCGCTCCTCAACGGTCTATCCGTTCATCGCGCGCGCTTTTGGGCTCCGTTACTCCTTTTTCGGGTAATTTTGCCTTAAGTGCCAACCACTGGCACGCGTATGCTCGCGTCTACGCGTCAAAAGCGTCAAATGTGCCTCTTGGCGTCGTCGTCGGAGGGGCATACGCGAGGAGGCGCGAGGGATCAAGCCGGGCTTGATATTTTTGCCACGCGTACGCTACGCCACCACGCGTACAGCGGCGCCAACCAACCAGAGGCCGCGATGACCCTGAATGCTGTGCGTAAAGGCAGCCGCTTCGAAGGCACGGCCGAGTGCTGGAAGCAAGCACGGAAACTACTCCAAACTTTCCTGAATGAGTGCTTCGTAATTTAGAACGACAACGACACGACGAACGACTTCGAGTGCTACCAGCGTGACGTGGTTTCATGCCGAGTTTGAGTGACGCCGACAAATCCAGCGAATTCGGGCCGGCTGGCTTGCGCTGGTCCTGAGGGCGATCGTCGGCCGAGCGAAAACATCGTACAGACCACTGGAGGATATCGGTGTTCTTGTGCTTTTTGATCTGTGATTTTCTGTGATGAAAACGAGTGTAAACACACTTCGGAGTTTGGAAGCTTTCAGAGTGAGCACCCGCCTACCACGGAGGCAATTCAGAGCGGTGTCATCTGCATCCAGCGTAGGCCTCTACCGTCGAGTTCGTATGAACCAGAACATGCGAAAAACATCGACTTAACATATACGACGCCCGAAACATCGCGTAGTGCATACGGAGGAGTTTTTATCTGCACTGTGTTTGTTTTCAAAATCGGTATTCATCATCGCTGAAAGCGAACCTCGCACTAGCCAGCATGTTTCGGTGATGTGAAATCGTACGTACTTATACAAGTGTATTCGCGAATTGTATGACGCTGAAACATTCGTTGGCTTCGGTGCACATTGTTTTCGTGTGTTGCCAAGCTAATGACAAGCGTGCGCGGGTTGGTAGCCGTGTGATGTGATTTCGTATCGGCTACCAGCGACGCTGACACATTCAGCTGTCAGCGAGCTCATGTCCATTCATGTACAAGACAGAAACTCGAACGTGTGTTGCTGTGGTTATCGAAAAAAGAAATTGCATGATTACGTTTTGCTGGTATTGCCTGCTATTTCACTTCTCGTTTGTTCTGCTTCTCTGGCACGCTTAGTAGCACATACGTTGTTTGGAGGCATTCTAACACACACACTCTTAATTTATAGTTCATTCTTATACTCATAGCTATAAGCATGCAATGGCGCTTCTCCGTCGTTTTACAGTTTACTATATTATAACACGCGTTTTGTTTACAGCTGGAGAGATATCTGAAAATCTTGTGAGAAGCGCATGATTTCAAATCAGCTGCACAATGACACGATACTAGGAAGAGAAGGTCACCACATGTATGCACAGAATGAATGAAGGTGAACTAGTACTGTACTGCACTTTGTGTAGAAGTGCAAAAAGTACCTCAAGTGACTTATGAGACCTTTCAGAACTGTGCATGTATATATTTGTTCCTCCAGACTTTAATGAGCTGAAGATATTATTACATGGTTTCAAACATTGAATCGTTGTATGCATTTCGAAGGACTGCTTCATTTCTGTTCAGTTTTTTTAGTATACGCATTAACTTGGACAATATATGCATGCACTTAAGCATATTCAAAACATCAAAATATTCAATATAGCTATGTTGCAAAACTTGCCAAAACTTCTGTTCGGTGCTCTGGTACAATCCTATGACCGGTATCTGTCCCATCAAAATCTCTGGGCATGCTTCATTGCAATATAGGGTATTTTGACTATTGATGACGTGTGAAAGCCTTCTACACAGTGCTTGGCTGCAATCTCGAAACCAATATCTGTCTCATCAAGAAGTGTCAGATGCAATTCGTAGATCTTAAAAAATATTTAAACTACCAGCAATATGCAGAAACTTTCAACACAGCACTGATCTGCATTCACAATGCAGCTTAGAAGCCATTTGTAGCGCTCTCTAACACGTTCAAATAAAGTTATCAAACACTGAAATGATCTACATGGTTTGGTTCATGATACCAGTGTGTCTGACTTTTTGGAGGCACTTGTATCATAATAATGTTCTATTTCTCTCATTTTTGACCGGGGTGCACTCAGGGGGTAGTGATATTTATTTATGTAGGCACACTTAATGTGATATTATTGTTTAAATGGTTTCATTTTGTACACATGTACATCACTCCTGCAGTAGTCTCACATTGGGCTGCCATATTTGAAAATAAATAAATATACCATCCAAAAGTGTTCCATGCTGCGCTCGCTTCCAATCTTATCACTAATATCTGTTGCATCATCAAGTGTCGGGTGTGTTTCATTGCATTGAAGAACATTTTCGCTGCCTTCCATACAGGGTTCAGTTCCAGTATAAGGACCGATATCTGTGACTTCATGAAGAGTTGGGTGCGGTTTGTCATTTTAGAGAATACTATAACTACAGACACCATCCAGAAGTCTTCCAAACAGGGTTCGGTTG